CCGTGTCTCGCTGGCTCAGCACAGGGAAAAGGCAGCCTGGAGGGAAGGGACAAAGCTGGTGGGACACCAGGACACAGTGCCACCAGTCCCCGGGGACGAGCGCCGGCTCTGCACAGAGGCTCACCCGGGCGGGGGCAGCTGGGGACGCGCTGGACGACGTGCGGTCGGAGGCCCTGCCGTGGGGAGAGGAGTGTCATGGCCACGTGTGGAGAGGGGACTGCCCCGACCCCGTGTCCCCAAGGCTGTCCCCCAGCCTGGGGGAACTGAGGAAGCACACGGCAGGTCCCAGTGCTACCACTCACCTGCCCGTGCTCGGCGCCCGCCTGGGGCTCGATCAGGTAGGTGGCTCGGCCGTCCGAGAAGACCCCCCTGCAAGCAGAGAGGGGGTTGTCGGGGTGCAGAGGGGTGCAGTCCCCCCAGCTCCCCTTTTGGCAGTGGCGGGGTACTCACCGCAGGCCCTGGCAGCTGGAGAGGGCGGCGAAGGAGCGGGGCTGCCCCCGGATCCGGCCCTGGTAGTAGCAGTGCTCCCCCGCGCCCTGCGGAGCGGGGACGGTGCTGAGCACGGGGGGCCCACCCCGCCATGCACCCCCAGGGGCTGCACCCCAGGCTGGGGGCTCTGGGGCTCACTGCCCGGCACCCTCGGGGTACGCCCACAGCACGCGGGGATCCCCATCACCGCCCCTGTGTGAGGAGCATCCCCCATCACCATGGCAACAGCCCATGCACGAGCTGGTACACCAGCGACACTCGGGGGCACCCAGGGGGAAGGTGTGTGCTGAGCTGCTGTCGGGGCCACTCCAGGGCTTCTGTAGGATTTATAAACCTGCCACCATGACCCCAGCGCTGGCGTGGCATGGCTTGGCTTGGCAAGGTGTGGCTCGCAGCTTACCGTGCTGTGGCTGCCGTTGCCGCCCGCGCCGAGGTGCCGCTCCACGTAGTGAGAGGCGAGGAGGTGGCTGCCGGGAGCAGGTAGGGGGTGAGAGGCCGTGGGGTGGGGAGGAAGAGGAGGAAGAGGGAGACAACAGCAGCCATCCATGCACACGATATCACCCCAGTGTGGGAGCCCTGCCGCTATCCCTATACGTGGAATCATCCCACGGTGGGACCCCTCTCCAGTTTGGGAGGGTGCTGGCACCCCATGGACCCCACGGGCTCAGCCCCCAGTACTGAAACTGGGACGGCTCTGCACAACTCCCCCATCCCCGAGCACCCCCAGCTCCTCCACCCCCTCCCTCCTGCTGGGGGGCGGCAGCAGCCCCACGGTGGGTGCCCTCCCCAGGACCCCCGCGGGGGTTACCCATCACTCACTGGTTCAGCCGGAGGTCGAGGGTGAAGGCGGAGCCGAAGGCGTGCACCACGAAGCTCACCTGCGCCAGATGCAGCCCCTGCAGGAGAGCCCGGGCCGTCAGCACCCCCCAAACTAATAACTAAAATAACAATTAAAACCTCAACCCAAACAGGCAGCCCGTGAAGCTGCACTGTTATTTTTAAACCCCAAAATCCAGCATAAAGGAAATCACTGGGTTTTTTTATCCTCAATCCCATCACCACCCCCGTGGTACCGGGAGGGCT